TAAATTCAAAGAATTAAAAATAAATAAAAATATATATATAAATATAAGGGCCAAAAAAATTAAAATATTTTTTTTTATAAATTTAACAAACAGGTTTATTAAAAAAAAAAAATAATAATATATTAATCAGCGAAAATGATAAATGCAGGACCAGAAATGTTGATTGCAATTTGGCCGAAAATTGCATATAAGGGTAGTATAGTACTTTCGCTTCTCTAAGGGGTATGTCAAAGAATAATTTGAGGTTGGGTTTACCTCTAATTTATTTGGTAACTAGGGATATGTAAAATAACCCCACGATATATATACTAATTCTATTTTACGATGTGCATTAAATTATAAGCTCATTAAAGTAGAATTTATTTTTATGGGAAAATTAGTCAACTACGATCACCCCTGAGCGACTCTAATGATCTAATGTCACATTACGAAAAAATTCTTTATGTTTGAATAATTACAACCATCTCTTAATTATGTATTTATTATATATCCATCCTTACAGCTTTAAGTTTGCCTACTGAAATAACGGTTTTTTCGTAAGATAAAACATAATTGAGTAGTGGTTGTAATTACCCAAATACTAGAATTTTTTTTCGTAATTTGAGATTGCATCAGGGAGATAAACGTAATTTGCCCTATTTTTTTGAACTTCAAATATTGCGATTGATTTGATTATTAGTGGGAGAACTCAATTCATGTGAACTTTAATTAGGCCTACATGTGATTTGAGTTCAAATTGTACAAGACACAAAAAAATCAGATTGCACTTATTACATCAACACACACACACACACACTTGGATCTACATTAGTGATGGCACCAAATTTACTCAAAACCACAATCAAATTTATTCCTCCCCATTTCCTGATGGTACTCGTTCTTGGCGGTACGTTGCAGCCTGCATGGGCCCACACCGTGCTCGGATAACAGCCCGGCCCGTCTTATTAGATCGGGCTGCTGTCCAACGCCAATCCCAAGCCCATTCCACACACATAATCAAGGTCCCTCTTCAACATTCTTTACCCTGCCCATACTCAAAATTTTCAACAACAACAAGATCACCATTATTGATGTGTGAGAAGTTAGCCATGAAGTTAGCCACTTAACCAAAAAAAGCCCACGAAGCTAATTAAGCCACACAACGAGATTCGAAAGTAAGAATTTACTAAAACAAATTTATGATAAATCAATTAATTTCGTGTTATTTGAAACAAAAAATAAAATGAAGTACTTATCTAATCGATCCTGACTTGAAGAGGGGCATATGATGCATCACTCCAGTTTAACATTGCTTGCCCAAATGAGCATCTCAGAAGCAGAACCACCAAAATTAATACCATATATATATATATATATATATATATATAAAAGGATGAAATTGATCAATTTATTTTATGAGTGGGGCCCCTTTGGAATACTCATTTGAGCAAGAAACATTATATGGAGGATTGAAGCTTTTGTGCAAAGTCCTTACAATATGTACACAAGGCTTTGGCCACATTATTTATAGCAGCAGATAAGTATTCACTGTTCACCAAATTCATATATTATATATTATATAATTATATATATTATAATTTATATATTATATTCATTACACATTAAGTAGCCGAGTAAGTGCACGTACGGTAGCTAGCTAGGGTTTGGTAAACAGACCAACCTGTTTACAAAATTTTACCACATTTTTTTTTAAAATTAATTACATCTAATTAACTTGAAATTTATTTCTTATTTAAATTAAAATTTCAGAAAAAAATTTTATGCATGCAATTTCGCTCTTTCAATCTAAAAAATCTCGAACATTGACGAGGGAGCAACTGTTGTATTATATTTCGATTTCGAACATTGATATATATATATATATATATATATATATATATATATATATATATATATATACACACAAACTTGTGAGTATCGATGAAGAGATTAATGTTTTCGTTGGTATATTAATTAATTGTAATACGGGTGGCATATATTACTCGAGCACAGTCCATCAAATTCAAGATTAAATAAAAAAAGATCGATTAGCTTTGAATCTTAGTTAGGATAATAATACTTTCCTTCGTCTTAAATAGTGTCGTTTTTCACCTTGGCACAAATCTTAAAAATCTCAATAAAT